TTTCTTCTGCTCGGCTTTGGTCATGTGCGATGTGTGAGGACAGAGATGGTGACGAAGTCGGATTTGTCAACTGCAGGCTCCGCAATGGCAGAAACGGCTTGAAGCAATAAATGGCAATAACAAACATGAGTTTGCCATGTCAATGTTGTCATGCATTGATACATTATTACGTGCCGACAGCCTTGCTGTTTCTCGCCCTCTTTCTCGCTATCCCGCTCACCCCCCCCCCCCCCTCTACGTAGCATGCGTCGCCGATCAAAGGAAACACGGAAGTCGCTGTCCCGAAGTGAGAATCATGCAGATTGTTGCTGTCGACTGGTACAATGGGGAGACCAGAATATCTCTGCGAACAGGGCGAGGTGCCTCACTTGCATCCCACTCTGGTGCTGGTCGGCGCCGTAGTGGTCTGGCCACATCACAGATCTTAATGCTGCGTGTTCTGCAGATGTCGGAGAACATGCGCTTGCCCCAGTAACTTGAACGAGCGTTTCATCATACGTCGTACTTCCATGCTGCAATATGAGAATGCTGTCGTACTGCGCTCCAAACCAAATTAGAAGCCCTCTTCTGCAGCTGCACTATATGCTTCTACTAGGACAGTGTGCCGCAATGGTCATTTTCCCAAAAACAGCCGATTCGGATGGCAAAAACAAACACCGAAGAGCAGCACTGTTCCCGGTTTTCCATCCACCATCCGGCCGGCGAAAAGCTTCTCTTTTCACTTCAGTTCCTAAACGGTTCCTGCGTTCCTTCCTGCCAGTGGCCACGACAGGCTTTCTGTGTTTCAACGACAAACATCAGAAAGGACAACTGTCGATTGTTGAAGCCGCCTGCCCTTTTGGAAGCTCGAACTGATGCCTGTGCTGGAACGCAAAAAGCACATAGAAGATAGAAAGGGAAGCTCAGTCGAAGGCTTGCAGGAAGCAGGATAACAGAATAAAAGTAAGTAGAAATGGACAAAAGCCCATGTGTGTGTTCTCTTCCTAGTCCGGACATCGATGTTTTGATGATTGCGACTGCCACTGATCTCCCCTCGGAGTTGCAACGATGTCTCTAAGGATTTCGACTGCCAGACAGGACTCAAATCGTTGATTGCACGTATACTTTTGCATATTTCTGCCACTGCCTGCCTCTGCCACGAACGGCACTTGGGATTCTTGAGAACGGCACTTGGGATTCTAAGAGAGTATGAGTTGTCTGTGTCGCATGTTCAGTCTGAAAGGCTCAGAGCCTCGCGCACAGCGGTGTGCAAGTAAGCCTGCCTATCTCCTGCAGGCCGTATACATCGAGGTGCTGAGGAGGTGCAAACTATGCATTCTGTATGGCCGTCCCCGCGCCAGCGCCTCCCGGACCCTGCATGTTTCGGAGGATCCGACCTACCAGCCGAAGGGCCACTGACGGCATCTGAAACTGTTGCTTGAAACACCGCGATGCTGGTGCTCGGGAAGGCTGAAAGCGGACAAGCAACAATGCTTCACTGTCTTCTTGACCGTACAATCAAAAGAGCTTCGCAAGTTGTCTAAGCAGGTGCGCTAGGTCGACTAGACAATCGGGATCGGGACGTCTGATTTATTGCGAGGATGTGCAGTTTGGGGGAAGTCTACACCCGAGAAAGACCCTCCGCACCCTCGCAAAAGCGCGTGGAAGGTCCGATGCGTTTCGCACGCAGGGCAGCTGCAGTCCTTGATGAAGGATGCGGTGTGATGTTGCTTTTCCGTTTCGCAGTCTCACAATCGATCTCATATAGTATGGCCTTGCATGTCCAGTGGCCCTGTCCTCACTGTGCGCTCCGGATGGTGCAGCAGCGCCCGGGAGCATGGTCCGATCGGCAGCATAGCCGTCCCTGGAAACCGCGTGTAATTAACATGCAGAAACCTATCACTTTGAAATCAGCCTTATCCAACAACAGCGTAGATGCACCGGGTGCATGAAAATGCCACATACGAGACCGCCAGGGAGAGAATTGGAATCCAGCGAGGGGTGGTGTGACTGTCTTACTTTCAACCCGTTTCGATTTTGCTGGATCAAAACCCGCGCGCAAGGATCGGCACCTACAGATTAGCAGCTGCTGATACAGCAATCGGAAAGGAAGAAGTTGACAGTCCGAAAGCAGAAGGATCAACTTCGTCGCGCAACCCAGGAAAGAGCATGCTTCACTTCATCCTGGGTGCAATGATCCCTCAACAAATCCGCGCTTGCGGTGGCTCCTTGCATTTGCTGCTGGGGCCGGTGGCGCCTTGCTGCAGTTGAGTCTGGAATTTGATTGCCTAACCTGTGTCCTCGGAATTGTCGAAGAAGACTCTCACCCTATCCCATGCCTGGTAAGGCGGCCTCTGCGAGCGCATGGAGGCTCAAGCTCAACTCCTAATTGTCCATCTCTACTCTACTCATCATCTGTTTTGCAATCTGCAGGGGTTGTCGCTCGCGCATATGCTGCATATGTGTGGTTCCCAGGGTTGCTCCAACATCATGATGGCACAGGACTCTGGACATCTCATGACCTTCCTTTGCTCAGCTTTCTGGAAGTAGTGCCAGCTCACTTGGTGCAGTCATTCATGATGCTTTCTTCGATGACTAAGCTGCCGTAGCCTTGACCCAACTCGCGACCATGGCATGACCGCATGGCGAAGACAAGATAAGCGTCCCAATAGTATAGCTGGTCGACTTGGTCGTGGCGGGAAAACGCCATGATGCTGACAGTGGTCATGCTGTTGATGGTGGTGGTGATATGCTTAGTGCCCGCGAGCCTCAACAGCCCTACCTACCTGCTTACCTACCTAATTACCTGCCCCTGGTTTGTCGCCATATCGGCTACTGTGTCCATAGGTGCACATAATGCTTGGCTACCTCGATGTCGGGCAATGAGTATCGACAGTATCGCCGTCTTGGCATGCCAAATACTTGGATATCACGTGGTCGGAAATGTGGCTGTGGAGGCTGATGCTTCATGTCTGGGGCTGCCACATGGAAGATCGACGGGGGACATGCTGGCGTCTACTTTGTCAGTCCATGATGTAGTTTAGCTATCATCCCCAGACGTTGCATTGCTGCGCTGCAGCATGACACAATTTGATGCTGATTTGGTCCTTGATGGAAGCTAGCTAAGCTAGCTGCCGAATTATTCAATTCGCTGGGTAGTCAGGCTGGTGGTGGTGGTGGTGGTGGTGGTGGTGGTGATATTCTGGCCATCTCGGTTGTCAAGCCGCTGAGCTGACGTGGCCCCAGGCTATCCAAACTCCAGGCAACTCACGATTTTCACCACACTGTCCAAGCTCATGTCTACTGTATACAACTGCTTCCTAGCCTTCTTGCTTCGGTGTGTACCTGTTACTTGCTGCGAAACAGTGCGATGTCGCCAAAACAGAACGGCCTAGTCTGGCGTGCTAAATCTGCTATCATCGCATCACCCCTTTACACCACAGAGTTCCTTCGCTAACCGACCGGCTGTCTATTTCTCATGGTGCTACTAGCTCGCAGGCAGCTTGTCGACACGAACCATCGTGGAATTATTGCCTCAAGCTTGTCTCGTTTCATTTTCGTGCACCAGCAAGTCTCATGCAGGAATGATTTGCTTCTCATCTGCTGTCTGGCTTGCCTGCCGGGCGACAGATTCGGTGGCACCCAAATCATTGACGATCGCTACGTGACCGCGTCGCAGCACACTGAGTTACTGAATGGTGGATAAGGGACTTGAATCTCGGCACCCTGCCTATTCTGAAGGCACTCTGCTGAACTTTGTCAGGTAGGTCATGATGGTCTTCCAAGTCCTTCCCGTAAACACGGCTCTCACTCCTTCCTCGAGGCAGGTGCCCGCACAGCTGCACGGCAGCATCAGGGGGGACAGGCTGGATTCAGGGATCGCAGCCAGTTACCAAACAAAAAACAACGCATGCTGCAGTGCCGACACGGCGGCTGTGCCTGACTTTCACTGGCTTGCCACTTGCTCTTCAAAACTGCCCAAGGCTATTGGAGACAGATGTCCGGTCCAAGAGGGTGTCTACTTTGATATCTAAACGCTCCTTCTGCGAAATTTCCATGTACTTGATGGTCTGACCATTTTTAACGGGTCCTCGGTTCGAGTTTCAAAGGTCTCGTGCTATCTCATGCTCTCTTCCCTGACAGCTTTCTGGCCCTACCCTGGCAGTCAGAATGAATCCGTACTCCATGCTCTGAGGTCTTCACTGGTGTACAAGTACCTCGGCTGAGAAATTGAAGGAAAGCCAATTTCCCTACAATACATCCTTGGGATTGGGTGTGAGAGCTGCAGATTGTGTTCCATCCTGCAACAGGCTGGCATAATCCTTGGTGTTCGTCCTGCCAAGTCTGCGGTCAAGCTGCAAGGACAGGAGCACTAGTGAAGTGCCGGCAGTGAATGTTGCAGAGGGATGCAGGTCGAACAAGTAGACAGAGGCCACACATGTCAAAATAATTGAAATCGCCTTGGTTGTGAAAGTCTGCGAGATCGCAATCACGATTGAGTCACCTTGTGCCAACTGAACGAAGTCACTTAGTGATACTGCCACGTTCAATCTCCCTCCTCAACATTGGATATGTGCCCGTCTCTTAGGGAGATTATGAATGCTGTGTCGTTGCTGCTGCTGCAGCTAGCACCCGCAAACGATGGGGAGACGTATTCGCTTCAGTTGCCACTTCCCTTTGGTCCTGTTTCTGAGAAAACTCGCGGCACAAAAGCAAGGCAGCCACCTTCTCATGGAAAGGATCTAAATTTCTCCTGTTATTGGTAGAAGCCAGACATCTGGACGACGGATGGGCCAGCTGGCTCTTTGGCTCATTGGGTTACAGCACAGACATGAGATGGCCAATCAGGGCTACAAACAGGGGCTTCCAAATGATTAAGCGTCTCTGTTGCTTAGAAACGGAGTCGGAGTTCAGTGTGACAGTTTTTCGACGAAATATGTCACGACTAGGTCGTCTGGTCTGCTCAGGAAAAGAGTGGATTGCTTCCAGGTTCCTGACGCAGACCGAGGAGAAGAGAGAGAGAGAGAGACAAACAGAGAGACAAACAGAGAGGGAGAGATGAATACACGAGGGAAGCAAAGAAGAGACCGAGAACTTGTCAGACTCCCATTGCGAGCCAAGAGCCGTTGCGAATCCCTTCCTCAGTGTTTAGCAAGCTCGGAAAACAATGAGCTTTCTGGTAAAACCTGATCGTAGCACTGAGATGCCTGCAGGCAGCAAGCTACAAGAATGACTGAGAATATGCGACGGTATTTCTTTATGTTGTTTACTTATTTGTTCAAGTCTACAAGCACATCGACCTGTCCCTATCATTGTGCATATACACACGTGCGTCCTCCAGTGCATTGTGAACCTGCTACGTAATCGGCGCCTGATGTATAGTATTAACGTGCGACCGGCCGCGGCGGACGACGCGAATCGTTTACAACTAATTAAGACATGTAAATGTGTGTGAATGAAGTGTATCGATGTTTGTATGTACGAACGCGAGTCGGCGATGAAAACCATGCAGTAAGCAAAAACAACCCAACCACAGTTCATGTATGTATATATATATATATATATGTTTCTGAGACTCCCGCCCTAGCTCAGGTTGACTTGGAGGAGGATCAAGGCGACTGCCACATGCCGGCAAGCATCACTATCGGTATCTTGTCTAACAGTGTCCTACCTCATGTCAGGCAGCAGTAAAGCTGCAACTACATAGTCGAATTTGAAGCCGCTGCATACTTTTGTATGCACACATACAAACAAATACTAACACATGTCAGCATAACATCTTCATGTACAGTTCCTGCAAAGTACAAGTAACAACGAGAACAACAACACGAAAACCAACATGAGAACATCGGGTCGTGCAGGTGAACAAACAAATAATATTAATGATACTTGCGAGACACATGTGGCAAAACATGGCCGCGACCTTTACAACTATAATACTTGTGTCCGGCAGAGCAGCGACACAGCACCCCTCAACTCGCAGGCACCAGTGCAAACGGACTCAGCACTGCAGAAAGTGCTGTCTTGTCTCGAGATGTTGTCTGCATACTTCGCGACCACAGCAACGGCCATTCCTCCCAACGCTTGCAGTGCGACGACTACACCTTGGCTCCATGTAGCACGTGAAGCGTTCTTTCGAAATCAAGAAAGAAAGGCCCTCATGCTTCCACACATGCAGTGTTCTGTGTCTTCACCTGTCTGCTCAACATGCATGAGCAAGTCAAAGCCAGGGGCATACGAGGAAGTTCCAGCCGAGGAAGAACCCCTTCTCGCCTCGATTGATTCTATAGGGCGCCGGTCTTAGACATCACCGTTGCACATCGTTGCACCATGTGCGTGTATTCTGCGACTGTGATCTGAGATCTTGCTGGCGTCTTCTGTCCTTTCCGACATCAAGCCAACACAGCTTGTCAAACAACCTTAAACAAGCCAGACTTTTTGACAAAGAGAAGACACTCTAAGACTGGGGAACCAAGTGCACACAGGGGATGCTGGCAGCTAAACTGAGCCGACCTTCTGAATGCTGCGCACTACATCCGAAACCTCCATGCCTGGATTGACCAAGGGTCGAATCTTAGAGCCATCATTGGCCACAAGGCCCCAGGAGATTGCGACCAAAGACCAGCCAGCAAGGTGCATGTTGCGCACCCAAAGGCCTTGGCAGCAGAAGCAAAGGCGAGCGCGTGCTAAACGGAAGCGTAAGCGTTCCTGTTTGGAGGACGATGATGACATGAACAGTAGAGGTGCAGAGGGTTTTTCAACAGAAAAAACGTTTAAGACTGGGCCGGTAAGGCAACGCATGAGGTCGGGAAATTCTCTCACAGGAAGGGGCTTCGGGATCAAGCAAGCCCCCTGTGAAAGGATGAAATTCCCGTCCGCAATCACAAGCCCTGCAAAGACTGCCATGCTCTTCCAGATCTGGGGGAAGCGATGTGGTAGTGAAAGTTGAACCAAGCGACTTGAGTTGCCACTCCTAGGCAGCAGCGAGCTCTTGATCTATGTATCAATCTGTGCATAGGTACAGCCATATACAGATGGACATAAGTATATGTATGTAGCTAGAGTATAATATAAGTATACATATACATTATACACATATATATATATAACGAGAGAATGAAACATTCTGGTATCTAACAGATTTATAGACCTGCAGACACATACTCTTGCAAGCTCCATAGTTGAAACAGCCACGGGCCTACGGCAGCCCGCTGATGGCAGCCTGGTCGCTTAAAGACTTTCTCGGTGTAGACTGCCGCCAATCCTGTCCCCAGACAGACAACTCAGCCTGCTAACTTTGCTTTCCAGGCATAAAGTGCCGTGCTAACCCTGAGCAAAATAAGGAAGGCTGGACCAAGGCATGGGCCACTGGTGATGCAAGCCACAGAGACGGCCAAAAAGCCGACCCATGCCTTCGGTGCAAGGATCAGAAAGAAACTCAAGTCTGAGTTAAACTAGAATAGTAGGAAGGTGCAAATCATCATCAGCATCATCAATGTCATCAAAGAGGATGAGGATGAGGACAGTCATCCTCCTTATCTCATCTTCCACCTAAGTATGTAGGAACTTCACCTGACTCAGCTGCTACAGTATGTGGAAGCAGGCTTGCAGGGGGTAAGATCTCGGACTGTGCATGAGTGGGGGCACTACGAATTCCGCCCCCACTCAGCACATGCAAAACTATGACGAACATGTTCCAAACAGGTATAAAGCATTCCGGCACATGGCTCTTGCGGTGCGAGAACTTGCCCATCGCATGAATCGGACATCATGCAGATCACAATGCCGACGACGGTGCATTCTCTTACCCCCCCCCCTGCATGGGACACAAGCACCATCGATGCTTCCAGATTGGAATCGTGAACCTGAAGAGACCCTCCCACCACACACACGCGCATACATACTCTGGTCCTTCATGCGGCTCTGAAGTCCCGACGTAGCTCGATGGGGCCTAGCCAGCAAACTTACGAAGTCAATCCAACCTGAATATCTCAGCCCACGACCTCAAGGAAACCCCGGCCTGCTGGCCAGCCTTTTGCTGGCTGTCTTCAGCAGTAGATAGCTGCACTGCGGCCACCTTTGGGGGGGGAACTCTGCTATAGCCACTGATGTCACTGCAAAAGACTCTAGGATTCTCAATGCCAGGGCACACGTCCGGTGACCAACGCCGACAATCTATAATATGAGAAAGCAGGCAACCTTCCTCCGGCCGCCACGAACCCAAATTGCGATTAGTGATTTTTGGTGCTAGTGCACGGAGGGCGTGGCGTAGTCCAAGTGATGCCAAGCATCAGGGGCTGAAGCATGCTCGAAGCTGCGTGTGCAACATGAAAGCGAGTTCAGCTTGTAGTTTCTGTAGGGCTTCCGGGGCAGAAAAGCTATTGCAGCTTCGATTTGCGCAAACCCTTCATTCTACGTTCTATTCAGACCTGCATGCAGCCAGCTCACGCCGAGTGCACACAGGAAAATGCCCCACCACTGGGGAGGTGTAAGTTGCCGGTTCAGCATCGCCACGCCTCGTC